CTGACTTGCTATATCCCTGGATCAAAAACAACACCTCAAATGACTATCAGATTTTTTGGGTGTGGGGTAGGTACACAGAGGAGATAGGAACGTGCCAAAACCTTTACATCTATAAACGCAAAAATATCACTTTTTTCTTGACACTCCTTAATTTGCACATCCACAGGAATTATGTTTTAATCTCATCTATAGGAGGTAAACAAACCAGCAGGCACCATTCCCAGTGACTTAGCAGGGGACAATGCTGATGCTAAGATAGCAAGAATATGCTACCTCTGCCATAGGGATAGTGGCTACCTACCTAGAACATTACACAATGGCAAAATAAAAATAAAGTGCTCTATGGGAGAAAGCAGCAGATTTTGGTGGACGTAGGAGAGTAAACTGTGCCACTCCCTGTAACACTTTTGAATGGAAGAAAATGTTATCAATACGCAGCACGGAGCTCTGTCTTTTAGGCTGGATAATAGAGAAGTAAAAGGAAAGTAGAATTGGGTCACCTTGCCTTAGAAGTTGCTTAGACAAAACCTCAGATTGACTCTTAAACAGAAGACACTCCAAGAGGCTAGGAGAAGATCTTAATAATAAGATAATTTCCCCATCTTTAAAACCAGGTATTACTATCCCTGGGAGATTCAAGAAGAATGATGTATTTATTTTATTTATTTATTAAACTTATATACCGCTTCATGGGGCTTTCAGCCCTCTCTAAGCGGTTTACAATTTCTTTTAGCAAATTGAGGCAGCATATCGCCCCCACAGTCCGGGTTCTCATTTCACCCACCTCGGAAGGATGGAAGGCTGAGTCGACCTTGAGTCGGTGAGATTTGAACCGCTGAACTGCAGATCAGTCAGCTAAAGTGGCCACTGCGCCACCTCGGCTCTTGATCTGCTATTGAAAGGAATATATCTTCTTGTACCTGTGCTAAAGTCTCTAGTCTTAATTCATCTTCCAATCAGAAACAAAGCCACCGAAGCAAGGAGGGGTTCTTCCAATAACCTCTTTGAAAGCTGTATAAGCCCGGGACCCCTGACGGTATTTAACTACCAGTCACTTCTGAAGAAAAAGCAACCCCAAAAATCAAGTATCGTAACTGCATACTAAGTGAGCCCTAAGCTTTTCCAATCATCCTTTGTGCAGGCAAGCTTGGAAGCTCAATGTGTGTACGATCTGCATCATCAGTCCTGTAATAATCTTCCTTGCTTCCTTCCTTCCTTCCTTCCTTCCTTCCTTCCTTCCTTCCTTCCTTCCTTCCTTCGCTAGTCTGAGTTTAAGTATGGTTACAGTTACCATCAGCAGTTCCATCAGTCTTGAGGCCCCCAAGATTCTCCAAAACACATAACCGAATCACTGCAGTCGCTTGCTATTATCTCCCAGCAACGACCTCTATGCATGAGGAGCTATTTCACAAGAGCACACCCGAGTAAGTGTTCTTTTCGGATTTACTAATATGAATGTGAAACAATTCTGGATTCTGAAAACCCAAATTACAGTTCATATATAGCAGTAAGTCAAGGTCTATTTAGGGTAATTAGTTTAAAATAAGCCATCTTTGACAAAAGGAATAGAAGAGAAAGAATACAGGAAGCAAACCTCCTAGAAGGAATGAAACTGAATTTCATGGACAAATTCCACAATGCTCCTTTATATCCAGGGAACGAGCAAGGGAAAAGAAAAAGGGAAGACAAGCAGGGACCAGTAATGTTTCCCTTCAAACACGAATGACTGCCTGCAACTGCAGCCTGGCCCTGGGCTCTCAGGAACTCAAAAGTTCAGCATCTCTTCAGCTACGGTGCAGCCTCCAAAATATGCTTCCGGATCCACCAAAGGAGTCTTGCCGGTGGTAGGGAAGGGCAAGGCCATCTTGGTGCAAGGGATGGAGGAACGGCCCCTCTGGGAAAGCGACTAGCAGGGCATGGCCCTAATTCCCAGCCATTTCATTATCTCACTTATTTACCACAAACTGCCCCCCCCCAAAAGGGCTGGGGATCCAATCCAAAGGACAGTGTAACTACTACTATGAAAAATGTTCCAACACTGTTCTATATCCCTGATAGGAAAACCGGCACCCTAAGATTAATCTGAGAGTTTTCCTGAACTTTAAGCACAGCTTCTTCCCTCAGAAAAGACTGATAAGAATGTAATTAAACTGGGTGTTTCTTTTTCTCCATGTTTGCCAAAGCTGAGCTTGAGCAAGAGAAATGGCAAATGCCCCCTTTCTTTCAAAGAACTCCTTGAAATAGCAGGGCTTCTTCCCAAACTGAAAAATAAGCAAACTGCCATGCATTAACCGCACCGTCACCAGCACCGAAAGGCTCGTGCATTTGCACATTCATGCCCAGCATGTAACAGATATTATCAGCCTCGTTATAAATAGCCTCCTCTGGACAGGTCTTTTAGGTGCTCTGCTATGCAGGAAAGAAACAAGGGAGGAGGAGTCTCTACCTGGTTCAGAGAGAGGGGGGGGGGGTTGATGCCAATCACTTCACAAAGACCAATTGCACCCCCCCTCTCGGGCAGCAGCACAGGCCTTTGCAAACCAAAGCTTCCTGGTGCCCATTTTTAACAGCAGGAAACTTGAAGCACAGAGACAGACGGCGTGTGACCGGCCTGGTAAAGAACAAAGGTTGCCATTTCTACGAGCAAGACTGAGAAAGCATCTGGCAGCCTTTCTGGGCCTCTTGGCAGAGCCTGCGCAAAGCTCCAGAGCAAGTGATTCACCTCACATGACACCCTTTTCCTGGAACTTCAGAGGACCCATAAGACCCTCCGTGACTTCGCCAACTCCACTCAGCTCTGAACAGGCGCACATTAAGCACCCTGAAAGAGAAATGCGCCCCAAGAGACACGGGAGATGGGCCTGAGCTATTCCAAGGAAGAAGCACTTCCACATAAACAGAAAAGGTTAGATTCTGTCCCCCGGAAATAAAGGACTATTATTCTTTGTAATAAGAACGGGGTACAGATCTTTTCTCACCAGCAACTGTAGTTTTAAACACAGAGAAAATGTGCCAAAGAATTATTAGATACATTTTTTTAAGTGAGTGATTAAAAGCCACCTATATAATATATATATATTTTTTAATGGGTGCAGGAATGTTTGCTCATGGAATTCCAGCTGCATATTCCAACCTACCTGTGACTCTGTATAAATCAGTAAATTGTTAAATGATTCATGGATCACATTTTATGACTTCACAGAGGGTGGAGAAGTCCACACCCCATTGGGTCCAACTTCATAACAACCTCTGCATCACAACGGGGAAACGATACACATTTATCAGGCTTTTTTCAATTTGGCCAAAATTATGTATAAATTGTGAATATTTCCCCTCACCTTTCATGCCAAAAAGCAGGCACAATGCAAAATATACGGGCACCACGTAAAATGGAAAGTACTGCCAAAAGTTTTCCATTTAGTTCTCTTCAATGCCAGTTATTGAATTGTAGGTTTTTAATAACAAAAATAGATTTACTTATATTTGATCTGAGGAGGAGGAGGGCAACAACAACGTGGGTGAGATAAAGGCTAAGGAGAGCTAAGCATCTTAAGAAGCAGACACGGCACAAGATCCAATGAAGTCTGATCTTGAAGGCTATTCAGAAATACATTTCTTCCTAAGTCCACAAATCATTTCCCCTTCCCCTCTCCTTATCTAGGTGCATCAGATATAGCCTGGCCCAAATGTGGGGGTTGCATCTACAGCCCCTTACCATGATTTTTTAAATCCATCCTCCAGCAGTCAATTGCAAATTTAGCAACGCTCTCTGCAGTGCTCCCAATATAAGCATTCACCTTTGTTGCAATCCCACCGGTATCCAACCTTCACCCACAAAAAAATGTTCCCAGTCAGGCAGCGCTTTAATTCCAATCCATGTATAATCCAACAGCCAAACAGGATACAGTATTATAAACCAGGAGATCCTTAACGGTGAAATGTGTTTATAAAGGTTTAAGAAGGCTACTAACTTCCTGAGGACGTAATTGTGAGGCTTGCTGACTCCCCTCTTTAGGAGTAGCTATTTCTGAGCTTTGAAAAGATTCTTGACAGGCAGAAAGCTGAGGGCTGTTTTTTTCTCTTAGTTTTCTGCAGGAAAGATGATTTGTGAGGTTGCATCTTATCGAAAATTCCTGTGCATCAAACGTCGAAGAGGCTCTTTGGTAGAGGACAACTCTAGAAAAATTCACATTTGCTGATTGAAAAGGTGAGGAAGAGTTCCACTCCCCCCCCCTCACATTATGGCTTTAGCAATAATTGCCTTCAGGGGGGAAAAGACCATTGGTTCCTCCTTCTGCTGCCAATCACATGCCAGGTTAAAGGAAAAGGGATACGAAGGAGGATCGGCCCATTTCTTTATTTATCTGCTTTCTATAACCACTCTTCTCAACGAATGACTCTGAGTGGCATACATTATAAAACAAAAACAAATAAACTGCTATAAAATAAATATAGATGCACCAAGTAAAACTGTTACTATACAGCTAGGAAACGGGGCCCTCCTACTTGCTACGACCCAATCCTTCCCCATAACTCCCCAACAGAGGAGAGGCAGGAAAACCCCTGATGTGTTGGTTAAAGGGTTAAAGCAAATGATATAGTATCATGCAGCAGTCCCAAGATGTAAATATACCCCAAGGTACAAGTGGGATGACTATGCAGTCGCGTTATCCAATGGCAGCCCTGAAGTCGTATCATAAAGATGTGTCAAATAATTTCAGATGTACTATAGCTCATGTTAAAGAAGTTGGACCAGGGGAGGCTAAGGACGCCATCCATAGGTTGCAAATCATTGTGGTTTAATACCTTTGTCAACATCCTAAGCTAACCCATCGCCTAAATTCCAATCTTCAGGCTATTAACTCTACCATACCAATTTGTACCTAAAAACAAGTGTCCCTCTGTTTTATGCATTCAGTTATTTGCAACTATGATTTGTAGGGAAGATAGCAAGCGGCATGGATAAAAATAAACTTAAAATTAGATGACAAGGCTAAAACATGCAGATACTTGGAACAGTATCTATGAAAGAGAACATCACCAATGCAGCCAATGCACATAAGGCAGCGGTAAAAGTATGTAACAAATCTTTAAATGGATAGGCATAATTATCAGCCAGATTCTTCAGTGTTTAATGTAAGCCAATTTTGCATACATATTAAAACAAAAAGTATAAAGCCTTTATTAAGACCTTAGTGAATATCTGTCTGTCTGTCTGTCTGTCTACCTACCAACCAACCAACCAACCAAAACTGCTTGGCAATCTTCCTACCTAAAAGAAATATATCAAGATGATTGTATTTTATGATTATGATCACGATTTATCACTTGCTGTTCATATGTACACCGGGAGCCTCTGCACCAGAGACAAATCCCTTGTGTGTCGAATCCCCCTTGGCTAAGAGAGAATTCTGTTCTGCTCCTGTTCCTACTTCCATTCCATTCCGGACATCCATTCAGCCAATAGGAATTCCATCAGAGAGGGGGTTTTATGGGGAGGACACCTTCGTGGAAAAGCCTTGTTTTCTTGCCTCAGTTTAAAAAAAAAAGGATGGAGCAAAGAAGGCAGCTACTCTGGTGGAAATAGGCGGCCTCCCATCAGGTTCCTGGGGAATGGGAGCAGAAGGGGGCTGCTGTTGCCCTCCTTTCCTGCTTGAGGTGCTTCCTGGATGGCATGCTGAGGGGGGAAAGGGCTGGATGCCACAAGGGTCCTTCTACGAAAGCACAGAGCCTGGGCCTGCTTCACTGGAGTGGCTGTGGGAGGGAGCCAGCTGGGCCCAGGGGCTTTGCAGGACGAGAGGGATTCCAAGATAAGAGCTATTGCCCAGCTGGATCCACAGACTCCTTCCCATTCGCCTCTGGCACATGGCAGAGAAAAATGTGCCACTCAGCTGAAGTGGCCATCTGTACCAGACATTCCTCTTCCACAAAATAAGCACTGATCTTGAAATTACTTACACATCTGCCTTGGCATTAATAGATGTTTTAAAAAACCCAGATGCTTACACAATCTTCATTGATTGCGCCTAGGAATTTTAAACAATAATTCCTAACTCTGTACGGTGTTGTTATTTTACAAGAGATGCATGGAAGTTCTCACTGCTTGTAGAAATTTCTGTTCTATGAGGTGGAGGAGTCAGCACAAAAATGGTTGCAATTCTTGAGATTCCAAAGAAGCCCTACCAAATTCTCATCCTCCACAGTTAAAATGGTAGAGATGCCTCCCACTTCAGCATTTATTCTGTTTTGAATGGTGCAATTAAGTAGCGAATGCTTTAAACTGTTTAAGGTAGAGGAGAGAGAATAGAGCAGGTTCTCTGTAGTACTATATCATCATCCACATGACGGAGGCTTAGCCCTACACAGCTGCTTTCTTGAGTTCTTAGCAGTTTATTTCAGTGTCTTCTCAAGCCTGAGCCAGAGGCTGGATCAATAATGTACAAAGGGGTTCAACTGGAAGACTGCTGCTAGAAACACAAGAGAGGCCAAGATCAGGAGGTCAACGGGACCAAGAAAATATTGAGCCTTCTGACAGACAAGGCAGGCAGAAGAAGCTAGTCTACAAGCAAGACCAGAGGTTAAAGCGAAAGTTGACACCTCCACTGCTCCTGAAATCATCACTGCACTCGGAGAAACGGGGAAGAGGAACTGACCCAGAACTCACACTTTGTCATCTGAACGAAACAGGTACAAGGAATTCGGACCATCCAGGATCTCCAGGGAATGGGGAGGTTAACTTAAGGACAAAGGATTCCTCCCAGTTCTGGCTCTGCCTGTCGACTCACCAGATAGCTGGAAGGACCCTGCAATGGGCCCAAGACCAGTTTTCAGCACTGCAGGCGGAGCTAAACCCAGAGAAAAAGGATCCAGGTCATCAGAGGTTGGAGCTGCCATGTTTTGGTGCAAGGAAGCCGCTTAAGGAGAAGGAACGGCTGTCATCCTTCAGCAGCAGCAGCAGCAGGGCACCGAATGCAGAAGATCCCAATCCTGTTTCTAGGTATGGGTGGAAAAAGACTGCACTGCCCCAAACCCCAAGAGCTAGC